GGGGGGGGGGGGGCGGGGAGCCGCCGCGGCTGGCGGCGCCGGTTGGGTTCCAGCTGGTGTTCAGGGACTCTGGGGGCAGCCACGGCGTGTCGATCTGGAGGCCGGTGCCGCCGCAGGGGTGCGTGGGGCGTCACCGTGTGCAACCCTGGGCGCCGCGCGAGGGCGGGGCGCGCGCGTGCTCTCGCCGGCGCGAGGCAGGCCCCGTGGGGGTGGGGCTGGCACCCCGCGGGTGCAAATACGCGCGGCTGTCGTGCCCTTCCTCTCCCGGGCCACCCCTCACCTCTCGCCCAGACCCGCCGTTGTGCGCCTTTGCCAGTCCCATCGGGAGAGCATCTGCCAACCCCACGACCCCACCTTCCAAAAATCATCCTGATGTTGCTGAAACCCCAACTTTTGGAAAAGTGGTTTCTGGAAAGCCAATCGACCTGAACACATCCCATAACCACCCAACAAACCCCCAAGCCCCCCCGAACCACTCAACAAGTCCCGAAACCTCCCGTAACCCCCCCGTAACCCCCACAGCTACTCCGAGGTTGGCTACGTGGTGGTCCCCGCCATCGACGAGCCGCAGCCGGGGGTGGTGCGCTGCATGCGGCGCGACCTGCTGCAGGGGGCGCGGTTCTACGACGCCCCAGTGTGGCAGGGCACCAGCGCCGACAACATGTACTGGCAGTGCTCCATCTGGCAGGTGGGGATTCTGACCAAAGCTTTGTGTTGTTGTAGGGGTGGGGCCGGGCCGAGGCACCTGCAGAGGCTGCGTTCAGGCGTTGCATGTCCTGACGCAACTTCTGAGCGCCGAACTGACTCCCGGGGTCCGCCTTTGTACGGTCGTGTGACCCACCCCCCACCCCGGCAGGTGGACAACCAGTGCAGCACGTTTGTGGCCGTCAAGACGTCGGGGCGGCCGCACGCCAAACAGGCGCTCGCGCCCAGCTTCTGAGCCGCGGCAGCCGCCGGGCCGCCGCCCGCGGCCAGCGGCGGCCGCGGAGGGGAGAGGGGTGGAGAGAAGAAGGAGCAAGAATGGGTCGGAGGCAGCCGGGCTTCGGCATGCCTGCGGACGGCATGTGCGTAGCGCTGATTGATTCTGCCTGTTTGTCCGGATGAATGCACTTTTTCCGGCATCGCCGGCTCCTTTTGAGCTGCATAAAGGGGCGTGGGATTGTCGTACATGGCGTCTTTTTCTCCTCTGGATTGCATCTCGGCGCATGGCGCTTGCAGCGCCATTGTACAGTGGCGTGGGGCTGGGTGTGAGGGGATTCCTTGCTTCGCAGCTGCAATAGGCTGTGCGTGCTGGGGGTGTGGGGCCGATTACTCAAGAGGGCGGCACAGCGCGCCTTGCCTGTTGTGTAGATTGCTCAGGCTTGGCGTCAATGTGTTGACCGGCCTCTCAAGTGTCAAATTGCGTGAAAGACGGCCAACTGCAAGGCTTGGAGGGGCAGGGGAGGGGCAAGGATTGGGGAGTTGTGACAGGACAACGTCGGGCTGCATGGGTCAGCTGTGTAGCGGCTGACAACGACCGGGGCCAAGCTAGCCAGCCACACACAATAACGCGCAGCAGGTTGCTGCAGACAGCACACAGCCCGGCGGCGGGGCACAAAACGCCGCCCACTGTCTAACATCGTACGCAGGCACGTGTCACCTGGGCACGGTGGGCTGCTTGGTTGGCATTCCAACGGGCGGCCTCCTCGTTGCCCCCGGCTGCCTAGGCCTCCTTGGTTGTTGCTTTGGTCCTTGTTCAATTACCCGTGGACCACCCAAGCTTAGGGCCTTGTCAGGGACGGCCGGGCTTTCAGCAGCAACAAACAGGCACAGGACAACCCATCCTGCTGTTTCAAGCGGACATCATAAAAAAAAACTGCAATACGGACTCTGAGGTGCATGGCATGCTGGCAGTCTGCGTTCATGCGTGGGGGCACGTGTGCCCCTCCCAGAGACAGCCGATGGCGCATGCAGGGTTTCGCCCAGAGGTGCCGCCAAGGACCTTTCATCGCCGGTACAGTAGCAAGAGGAGCCCGGGTTGCGCCCTGTGGCCGCCCGGGATCCCCAGGCAGGGGCTGGCCCTGCGGGGGCCAGTAGCGCGCGAATGCTGCAAGGCTGTGCGCAGCTGGATGTGGCGGGCCGCGCGGTGGCGATTGGTTTTGTCCAACCTTCTTGCTCAAAGCAATGGCCTTGCCGGCTTGACGTTAGACAGCTGGTATGTGAAGCATTGCCAGATGATGTTCGGATTACAAGGTGCATTACGATACAGGGTTGCCTGTCAGGGAAGGCTGTCCTGGTTGAGGGCCTGCGGAATGCCTGTCTGTAAGTACACGTGTGCGCCGATTGCACACAATGTGTGAGGGTCGGTGGACTTTCACAGCCACGGGGCCCTAAAACGCCAACACAGCCTGGCCACATTCAGCGATGGGCCTGGGAGTCACTGGTCCTGAACGTAATGGTGGACACGTAAACATACACGAGCGCTGTCTTGGTCAAAGCAGGCACGTAAATGAATAGGTCCAATATCCCTCCCAACAACACCTGTTACGCGCCCACGAGTCAGACCACCACGAAGCGGCAACTGCACACCCTCCGCCACGTGCAAATGCCTGTCCACTCCTCTCGTCCTCTCCGCCCGGGTCATCCAAACTGCGAGAAAGGGCGGCAATCGTGGGTGCTGTGTTAGCAAAAGCACAGCTGAGGCACCAATTGCTTGAGAGCCCTGGTCTCTTGCAATCAGGGCGAGGTCCAGGGGAGGTGTTGGGCCAATACCATACGCTGCAGCCCCCCCCC